AATCAGTGTTATTCACTTCACTGTTAGTGCTCATAATGGAATGGTTGATCGGTGCATGTACTGGTGAGCTACAATGACCAACGTTACATCAGTATCTAAGTGCATTTATGACTTTCTTCACATCTTCACAAAGGGCCAAATATTTAAAAAGGAAATAAAATATTATAAATTAAATACAAACATATGAGCTAATAATTATAATGCATATGAGGAACTTCAGATTACACACAATAATAGTGGCTGTTGCTTAGTAGCTGTAATTGTTGATGCTGTCTTTGTGGGTGCAAGGCTTCAATGACGCATAATTGTTCACCTTGTCCTGTTCTAGTTATTAATAAAAAAAAAATGTCTCTAATTACCTTTGCCTTGTTACACTATCATTACATACTATATAGCATATATGGCCTGTTTTTCATGGCTTCAAATATTTTCAGAGTGTGGCAGCTGTGCAATGCCCCTGTGCAAAAAATGCAACTCCAAAGTGAAGAAATGATTTCCCCTGTTTGGTGTGGAGCAACTTGATTGGCCTGTAGAGTTCCCTGATCTCAACCCCATCCAGCACCTTTGGGATGAACTGGGATCAAAATCACTGCAGCCAGGTTCTATTTTGAAACACTCAAAAAACTGCTGGACTAAAGAAATAACACAAATTTAACCTGACTATGGTTAATTATGCATGGGATAGGATAGCACTGGGTTGGTTTGACCCAAGTGCAGGGTAGCATTAAACTAAATGTTTATATGACCCAACCTTAGTTTTTAATTAAAATTTAAACATTTTGAGAAAAGAGTTATTGTTTAAAGTCAAACCAACTGAATACAGGCCCGACCTTTGGTGCCAAGCCTCCTCTGTTGCTGAACATTGAAGGAATTATGGGAAAAGTGACCTAAATATGTATGTTTGATAGAGTGCATTAATAACTTGTTATTAAATTAATTCAATCATTTATTGTTTGGGTTTGATGGGGGAGTAAATCAGACCATTGTGTTAAATGATTGAATCAGTTGTACTTATGAGTCTGATGGAGCCAGTGAGGAGACAAACTTAATGCTTTTATTTTGAAACCATTTGCTCATCGGTTTATCTGATCTAATGTAATATAAATGGGTAGATCCAAGTGGGCTGATAACTGCAAAGAGGGCCCCCCCCAAATAAACATCAGCTCAGGGCCGGCCCTGGGTATGGCTTTCACAAAGTGGCGCATCTTGTCTCCAAGACCGGGACACCAGAGAGTCAGGATGCACAGTCCGAACATGTTCACTGGGAAGGTAGCTGCTATTATTGGTTTGGGAGTAGGTGCGATCCTTGTGTTTCCAGGCAGGGACGCGCCGGACTCAGCGGGCAGCGGGCACCCGATATGGAGGGGGACGGGGCTGCCCGGTGTCCTAGCGTGGGCTGTGGTCTGCACCGTCGCCGGAGCTTCGGTCCTCGCCATGGGTTGGCTGTACAGGCTGCTATTCTCCCCCCTGGAGCTCCTTAGGACGCCCCATGAAGTGGGATACATCGCCGAGGACGGTCGCTCCAAAGCCCAGGCGGCCAACGAGGTCCGACGCAGGAGGAAGACCGGAGAGCTGCCTCCGGTGTATCCAAACGGCTGGTACCGGGTGCTGGACTCACACCTGCTGCAGAGGGGCGAGGTCAAAAGTGTCTCTGTTCTAGGTATGATACATAAGTTAGTGGTGGTTGCATTAAAGTGTAAATAGAAGCTGGACCAACAAAAAAAAATAAAAAAATAAGTTGTCTTTTGCTTTGAAAAGTAGTCAAAAAATATAAATTAAACTAAAAATATAAATTAAAAACTGATGAATGTTACTGTAACAGGTAAGTGAGCCACCAGGAGTACCCAGGGGTTTCTCATTCTCAATTGCCCCTGACCATGGGGGTCTTTTTACTGTGGCTCAGCTCCAGATGACCCAAGAGTTGAACGACAGTCAGAGTTTCTCCAGTTTTTGCTGTGTTTTTAAGATAGTAGCAGGCATAAGTGACTACTAACTTATTTGAATCAGCTGTTAAAGTTCATGATTAAATGTAACTGTAGTCATGTACATGTGAAATG